GGGAATAACAAGGACCAGAGAAGAAATAAATAAAATGAAGGAAAAAAAAAATCAAAACCAGAAGCTGACTCTTTAGAAAGATCAATAAAATTGACAAACTTTTAGCTACAATGACAAAGACAAGATAAAAATAACCAAATTTAAAACTGAAAGAATTGTAACAGAATACAATTAACTATATGGCAACACAGGAGCTCTGGTAGCATAGTGCCTAAGGCACTTGACTGCTAACCAGAAGGCTGGCGGTTCAAACCCACCAGCCACTTCTCGGAAGGTTGAGCAATCTACTTCTGTAGTGATACTGCCTCGGCAACCCAAGGAGGGGTTGCTATGAGTGAGGGCCGACTCAATGGCAAATAACAAAAACAACAACATCTGGCAACACACTGGATAACCTAGATGAAATGGACAAATTTTCAGAAGTACAGCCTACCCAAACTGACTCAAAAGAAAATAGAAAGTCTCATCAGACCCAAGCAAGTGAAAAAACTGAATGAGTGATCAAAAACCTTCCAACAAAAAATAGGTCCTGGATAGTCACAGAGGACATCAAGCTCAACTGGCATAACATACTACACAAAACATTGTTCTACCTCCTACTTTGGCAAGTAGCAACTGGGATCTTAAAAGCTTGCAAGTGGCCATCTAGATGCAACAATGGGTCTCTCCTCATCCAGAGCAAAGAAGAATGAAGAAAACCAAAGATTCGTGGAAAGAGTTAGTCCTAGCAACTGGTACACCATCCAATCTGCAGCCTATATGATGACTATGAGACCAGAACTAGATGGTCCCCAGTTACCACTGTCAACCACTTGGAGGGGTATCTATGTAGGAGATCCTGGATAGAGAGTGAGAACAACGTGGAACAAAACTTAAAATCATTTGTGGGGGAGGGGGAGACCAGGTTTAATGGTCTGATAGAGCCTGGTGGAACCACTGAGACTATGGCCCCAAGCTGCCCTTCAGGTCTAGAATTGACCTGCCACACCTATGTCTTCCAGTCAAGCAAAAGACAGGCCTAGGAGTTGAACATTTACCTGGGGTAAATACACTCCTTGGAGAGAACAATCATGGGAGAAAGGACTGTTTATACACAGGGAGACAGCTCAGGAGGCAGGGGGTGCATGGAGGGATGGACACAGGGGAAACGGTGACTGTCGGGAGGAAGTGGGAAGGGAGCTGCTGCATTGTGGTAAATTGTAGTCAATGCCATGAGACAAAGTGTATGTGAACTGCTGTATGCAAAGTGAATTTGCTCTGTGAATTTTCACCCAAATCATAATTGGGGAAAAAAAAAAAAAAGGTCCTGGATCAGAAGGCTCCACTGGGGAATTTTACCAAACATTCAGGGAAGAATTGACACCAACACTGTTTAAACTCTTTCAAAAGATAGAGAAGGAAGGAATACTCCCTAATTCATTCTATGAAGCAAACATAACCGTGATACTCAAACCAAAGACATCACAAAAAAAAAAACTACAGGCTAATATGAGTATAAAAAACAAAAATCCAAACCCAGTGCCATCAAGTTGATTCCAATTCATAGTGACCCCCATAGGGTTTCCAAGGCTGTACATCTTTATGGGAGCAGATTGTCCCATCTTCCTCCCACGGAGCAGATGGATTTGAACCACTCACCTCTGGTTAGCAGCCAAAATGGCTTAACCACTGTGCCACCAGAGCTCTTTATATAGGAGGTGCACAGACTATGCCAGCTAGGATGCAAAAAAAAAAAAAACCCAAACAAAATACCAGTGAACAGAATCCAAAACATACTGTTGTTGTTACGTGCCATCAAGTCAGACCCCTACTCACATAGTGACCCCTCCTTGGGTTTCCAAGGTGGGTATCACTACAGAAGTAGATTGCCCAACCTTCATTTCAAGGAGTGGCTGGTGGGTTTGAACCGCCAGCCTTCTGGTCAGCAGTCAAATGCCTTAGGCACTATGCCACCAGAGCTCCTAAATCAATCACTAGACAAATAGGAGCCCTGGCAGCATAGTGCCTAAGGCACTTGACTGCTAACCAGAAGGCTGGTGGTTCAAACCCACCAACCAGGCCTCGGAAGGAAGGCTGGGCAATCTACTTCCGTAGTGATACCGCCTTGGAAACCCAAGGAGGGGTCGGGACAAGTCAGGTCAGACTCGATGGCACATAATAACAACAAAGGACAAATATTTCATGAACTCACTTACATGAGGCAAATGTATAGAAACCAAGTGATTACCAGGGATAGAAGGAAGGGAGCAAGTGTGTGTGCATGTGGAGGGGTGCACCTAACGGTGATGAATGGAAAAATCACAATGATTAAGGGTAGGGTTGCATAGCCAATTACTGTTAATTACTGTAAATAAATCACACATCTGTAAAAAGTTGAACTGGCAAAAGTTGTGTGACAGATACATTTACAACCACCCCTAAATCTACTGCCTTGAGTTTATCTTTAAGCCTTACACTAACACTATCCCCTGAAGTCTTCCGCTGAATGACAGTTTAGCATCACTAGCAAAACAGGTCCCGAGCATCATGCTCTTTTAAGAACTGTCGATAGGGGACCAAAGTGATGACAGCAACTCGAAAGGCTGGAGAGGAACCTCGGGGGGCAGCGTGGCTCTGTTCCCAAGGAGCAGCTCCATTCAGGAGGCTGAGACTGGTTGCACAATTCCAGAGTGTCATCACTACCACCAAGCTGTCCGTGTAGAAACTGTTCAAGCGGCATCAGTTTTGCCATGTATATTCTTAACACTAAAATTTAAAGGAAAAAGACATAAAAATAATTTAAACAGTCACAAGTTAAAAGGAATTGTCTTCTCACAAGCCTTAAAGGACAGTAGAGTCTGTATACATGGCCTACATTAAAATGCTCTCCTTGGTAAAAAAAAAAGAAGAAGGTGGGGACCAGGTTTGCTGGTCCAATAGAGCCTGGTGTAACCACTGAGACTATGGCCCCTAGCTGCCCTTCAGGTCTGGAATTGAACCCACAACTGTGGTTTCCAGCCAAAGTACAGGCATGTGAGTTAAACATTTACCTCAAGTAGACACACGCCCTGGAAAGAACAATCATGGGAGAAGGAAGGGCTGCTTATGCACAGGGAGATAGCTCAGGGTGCAGAAGAGTATGAAGGGATGGACACTGGGAGGAGGTAACTATGGGGAGGAAGTGGGAGGGGAGCTGCTGCATTGTAAATTTTGGTCAATGACATGAGACAAAGTATATGTGAACTGCTGTATGAAAAGTGAATTTACTCTGTAAATGTTCACCCAAATCCTAATTAAAAAAAAAAAAAAAAAGTAAAATGCTCTCCTTTTTCATCCCCATCCCTCACCTCCTGCAGCTATCCTAGCATTGGGAGCCACATCACACACCCTGACTTCTCCTTAAGCCACAGCCATCCACCTCCCCGCCCATTCTCCTACCCTCTACACAGATTGGCTCAGCTGCTTTTCTTTCCCTCTTTGCAGACGTGTTAGTTTCCTGGTGCTGCTCCGACAGAAATACCACAGGGGGGAAGCTCTAATGAATAGAAATGTGTTTTCTCACAGTGTAGGAGGAAGTCTGACTCAAGGCAGCAGCTCTAGAGGGAGGCTCTCTCTGTCCACTCTGGGAGACAATCGTCTCACCTTCAGCCCCGGCGTTCCTTAGTGGTCTCCACAAGGCTTCTGCCCCTTCCCAATCTGTGCCGGCTCCTCTATACCTCATCTGCTCTTTTTTTAATCTCCAAACTGATTAGGTTTAAGACACATCCTACACTGATATGACCTCAGTAACAAAAGAAGACCTCTCCTCCCAACTGGGATGACATCCACAGACGTAGGGTTAGGATTTACAACACCTAAGTAGTAAGCTGTTTTGGCTACTTGAATAACATCCTTGAATATAATACCCCAGTGAAAACTGCCTCCATCCTTATGTGGGGCCCAGGTTCAATTCATCGTGATGCTCTTGAAGAGTGTCTAAAAAGATGTGACAAATGTCCAGAAGCTGCTCCTTGAAAGACGAGTTCATGCTCATCAGATGGCCATGAGAGAGGCAAGGGGACATCAGGTCCAGGTAGCAGCCTGACCAGAGTTAAGACAGTGGCACCAAAGGGAACACTTGGCAGCAGCTAAGCCTGGCTGGGGAACATGGTGTGAAACGAGAGTGGCATAGTGCAGGCCAGACTCGGCAGGATCTGATAGTAAAGGCTGGATGTGCCACCAGCTGGCATTCTTTCACTAGAAGGTCTTGATGGAAGCCTGCCTGAATCTCTCCCAGTTAACCATTTTAACTTTTACCTCAGATAAGGAGCCCTGGTGGTTAGTTACAGCATTCAGCTACTAACCAAAAAAGCTGTTGGCTCTTTATGGGGAACGATGAACTGTCTGCTTCCATAAAGATTATCACCTTGAAAACAGTCTAAGGGACTAGTAGACCAAGCGAACCTCACCCTATATGACCACTGGAACAGAACTAGATGGTGCCTGGCTACCACTGTCAACCACTCAGAAAGGGATCCTGGGTGGAGTGGGAGAACAAGGTGGAACAAAACTCAGAATCATAAAAAATGACCAGGCTTATTGGTCTGATAGGTGGTGAAATCCTTGAGACCATGTCCCCTAGTCACCCTTCAGGCTTGGAAATGAACTCACTCCTGTAGCTTCCAGTCAAACGATAGGTGTATTAAGGTGAGCACTGACACCAGGTAGGCACACTCCTTAGAACAATCAACCATGGGAGATCAGAAGGGCCGTGTTTGCACAGGGAGATAGCTCAGGAGAGGAACTCACAGGAAAGAAGGACACAGGGAAAAGGTCACCACGGGGAGGAAGTAGGAAGAAAGCTGTTACACTGTGGGGATTACAATGTCATGAAACAAAATGTGTATGAACTGCTGTATGGAAAATGAATTAGCTCTGTAAATTTTCACCCTAATTACAATTAAAAAAAAAAAAGATTACGGCCTTGGAAACCCTGTGGGGTAGTTCTACTCTTCCTACAGGGTCACTATGAGACAGAATGGTTATACCTCAGATATTATTCTTATTAAACCACCAGCATGGCTGGACCATGGTAACCATCAAGCAGCTTCTTCAGCCATGAGATTCAGATTTTATGCCAAAGATGTTAGTTTCCTACCACCAGTGGGCTCCTGGTACCTTCCACTTTCTCCTCACCAGTCCTCTTCCCTCACTTCTTCAGTGTTCAAGGATGCACCTCCATCTGCACTTTTCTTTATGTTGCTGCCCTCACTCCTGGGAGCTGAGAGTCAAGTAAGAGTGTAGTTCTCCTTCTATTCCCAGAGCCACACAAGAGCAAAATGAGAATAAAACTCAAGTTCATGACAAGATCTTGAGCCTCACTGTACATACCAAGATTTCAGAGGCAATTAAAATGATGTACCTAAACAATGAGGAAGAAAAATACTATTGAAAGACCTGGCTCTCCGCTAGAAGGGAAAACCCTACGCATATATACATTCTGTAAAAATAGACATGAAGAAAAACTTTTAGAAGCCTAAAATCAAAACCTCAGTAAAGCAAGCCACACTTAGAAAAATGAAAGCTGATCTTTATTTTATCATCAACAGCCATTCTTGGAACATGAACATGCATACGTAATATTCTACGCACACATCACAGCTTTAACATTAGTTAATAAAGGTTAAACACACAACATATATCCTTACAAAAAAAGTCAAAATGCAAACTTCAAACTTTAAACAAAAGTCTTACTAATTTAAAAAAAGTTTGTGTTGGGTACCATTTTGTACAACACAGTTAATTTAAACATTTTCATTTTGGCTGCACATGAAAAAAGCGGCAGTAGAAAATAAAGTCATTGAGGGTTTGTACATAGCAGAATAGGCAGTTTTGCCATGCAGGAAAAGCAATGTTAAATATTAGTTTTCAAAAAAAATCCACATTTAAAAATATTTAGTTCAAGTCACAGAATTTCTCTCAGTAGAGACCCCGATGCAATGCGTAATTAGCTGCCTCAGATGGCCTGTTTGAAAGGATACTATCCCTTCCGCTATCACTTTATTGATTTTGGCACAGAAAAGAAGTCTTGACCAAGAACATGATTAAAAAAGAGGGAGAGGAGCAGAGGGAGAAATAAAAAGCAAGAGTAACTGAGAGGGTAAATGCAGCCACTGAAGAAGTGCGCTCCCTCAGTCACTGCCGAACACCAGGCGCTTCTCCCGGAACTGTTACTGTAGCATGGACTTAATTTGCTTGGAGGTAGTCTCATCATTCAAATGTTTTGTTGTGTACCTGAAAGGAAGAAAGCCATCAGTGCTGGGCTCAGGATGCATCGGCACCGGGTTCCCCTGAACAGCTGCTCAGGCAGCCCTTCTCCCCTGAAGCCACGCCACTGCTTCCCAGCTCCAGCCCTCGGCTTCCAGGAAGCACAGCCTCCCCGCCACCCTTGAAAAGAACACCCAAGTCACCACAACTTATAAAGAAATGTATTTTCCATGAAGACAAGGTGAGACTTCACACTCAAATTTATCTGCGTTAGAACCACCTGGCTGAAATGATCAGGTTAAACTGTAAAGCATTGATCTGTAACTTCTCACTCAAAGGAAAATAACTAGCCCATCCCAGGAGTCAGCAATCTATCCCAGATTTAGCCCCTGGGCCACATCTGCTTTGCTTGTGTATGGCCTGTGAGCAAAGGGTGATTTTTAAATGTTTAGGAAGGGGAAAAAACACAGAATAATATAGTCATGTAACATAGAAATGGTAAGAAATTCAAATTTCAGTTTATGGAGGTTACTGGAGCAAAGCCACGCCAATTCATCTACATCTTCTCTATGGCCACCGTCTTGCTCCAGTGGCAGAGCTGAGGAACTACCACAGCCCACCCAGCCTGTCTCCTTACTCCCAGTACCGCACAGGGAACGTCTTCCCACTCCTGTCCAAACGTGCATTCAAGGCAGCTCAACGGCTACAGCTGTAACTGTCACATCCCTCAAATGTTCCAGGTTTCTAAGTGCCTTATTTCCAGGCAGGTGTTTTCCTCCAATCCAAATTAAGAAGTTAAAAAAAAAAAAAATCACTAAGAGGAAGTATTATTTTGTGAGAAGAGTCATCATGAGATTCCTTTAAGTAACAGAAATCCAATACTGCGCGTTCATTAAGCCTCTACCAGCCCCTACTCTGTGCTGGGCATCATGCCAGGAGTTTACAGTCTGCAGAGGGAGAAACACTGTAATATTGTAGAAGGCTCCTGTGCGCAAAGTATAATCAGGTAAGGCTGGAGAGACAGCCCAGAGCAAGTCATGTGGACCCCAGAGGCCACAGAAAGGACAGGTTACACCAAGTACAGTGGCAGCTGGTGGAGGGTTTTCATCAGGGGAGTGATGTGGTTTCACTTATGTTTGGAAAAATCACTCTGGCTATGGAGGGAGGCTGTAGGCACAGGGGGAACAATGCAGGCGTCCAGCGGTGGGCACCGCAAAGGTCCAAGATCACAAAGGCTCGGACCAGGTAGTGACGATGGAGATGGGCGCCCAAGGCTGGAATGAATGTAGGATGTATTCTGGAGAAAATCTTAACAGACCTTCATATTGGATTGCTTTATTCGGCTGACAAGAATGTCACCTATAATGTTTAAAGACTGTATCATTATAGGCAGCCAGGCTGGAAAGAAAAATCCATAAAAGAATATTTACATGAAATGGTAGGTGACGCAGCAAAGACTTAACCCTTCTGTTTCCTTCCTCAAGTGCAAGTAAAGAAATGAAATCCTTCATCTGAAAACAGATACCAACATTTATTAGCTGTATCACCTTTAGTTGCCCAAGAGCGTAAGGAGAAATGGAAATACTACCAAGACCCCACATCACCACCTACCTCTCAAGAGCAGTAATGAAGACTAAGGAAATGATGTATATGAAACTGCACTGTAAAGTGACAGTGACACAGGTGGGCCCTGCCTCGACGGATCTTTTCTTCCCCTTTCCGTCAAACATAAACAGATTCCAGCAAGGGAGACTGCAGTTCATTTCACTCACTGCAGCTGCCCTAACTCTGGAGAAAGAGAGACTGCACCCTCTGGGCTCATCATTCATCTTTTAGACACAGGCCCTTCAAGGGAAAGAGAGAATACTAAAATCTCCCAAACCTCAATTACTTCTTAATTTTGAAAAAAGAGTTCGTTACTTCCTGGCTCTGGAAAGTCTAATCTACAAGGTGGGAATAAAAGAGCTTGGGATGAAAATCAGGCTGATGGGGACACGGAGCAGTGGTCAGCAATGAACTACACAGGAAAGATTCGCGCCAGCATCAATACTGGTAAAACCAAGAAGGTTGCTTTATAAAATTTCAAGTGTCAAACCTTCCAAAAATATTAGGCTTAATGCTGACACATAAGGAATTTAATTGTTTAGATATGGTCCTTAATTTTTCTGCTTTTATATGTAAAGATCTACTTTATTCAGGCAGTCCCTACCTCTACAACAGTTTCCATAATCTTATAAAATCATCTGACGGCTCCATGCAGCTGTAACGACAACCTACATTTTGCTTTCTGACACAGCAGGCTGTCTTCAGGAGGAACAACGATCCATGTGGCTCCTCTCACACACGGGGGACAGAGGATGCACTGGAAATCATTTCACAGAAAACAGACTCCAACCTTCTTTCACATGCACTACAATGCCCAAGAGTCCAAAGAAATGGCGGTGGCCTCCAAGAGTCACCGGAAACAGCCCCGTGTGTGTATAATTTTTGTGTTGAAACGCCAGTCAGCAACGAATGGGCAAATCTTCTTTTATGGCAGGAAAATTATATTACCAATTAAATCTCTGTGGTAAAGAGGTTATAAACTGTTGCATTTCCATTAAAAAATGTGCCAGCATTCTTTATGTGCTTCAATTAACTCTAAGTTGACAAAAGCCATCAAATCATAACTTTTATTTTCATCATAAGAAATACACAAAAATAACATGATCTGTGCCTGTGAATAGAGAAATTACACTGTACTAAGGGACAAGAACTGTTACAAAACAGTGCATGTAATTTGATACTAGAGGATGACTATTACACACGATCTCTGTCTGTCGGAGTAAAGGAAACACACTGGAAGCATATATACCACAACAGGGCCTAGTGGCTTATCTCAGAACTGTGACATTACACGATGGCTTTCCCCTTTACATGTTCCTGGGCTTCTGGAATTCTATTTACAATCAGCCTGTATTCATTTCATTACAAAAATAAACAATAAGCCACTCTACTTCAAAGGGCAAAGAGCAAAATCTGTCAGCAAAGAAAGAACTCTGGCATTCTCACTGTGTACACACACACACACACACGATCATAAAACTGCAAAAAAGTGCAATGATGGGTCTCTCCTCGTCCAGAGCAAAGGAGGAGGAAGAAAACTAAAGATGTATGGAAACAATTAGTCCAAGCGATTGGTATACCATGCAATCCTCAGCCTACACGACTATGAGATCAGAAGAACTAGATGGTACCTGGCTATCACTGTCAACCATGCAGAGGCGGATCTATGCAGGAGATCCTGGATAGAGAGAGAGAATAATGTGCAACAAAACAGAATCATTAAAAAAAAAAGGGGGGGGGGTGCTCAGGGCGACCAGGTTTGCTGGTCTGATAGAGTCTGATGGAACCACTGAGACTATGGCCCCAAGCTGCCCTTCGTGTCTGGAATTGAACCCACTCCTATGGCTTGCAGCCAAACAAAAGACAGGCATATGAGGTGAACATTTACATTAGGTAGATACACTCCTTGGAGAGAAAATTATGAGAGAATAGAAGGCCTGTGTATACACAGGGAGACAGTTCAGGGAGCAGGAGTGCATGGAGGGAAGAACACAGGGAAAAGGTAACTATGGGGAGGAAGTGGGAGGGGAGCTATTGCATTGTGGCAAATTGTAATCAATGTCATGAGACAGTGTATGGGAGCTGCTGAATGGAAAGTGAATTTGCTCTGTAAACTTTCACCCAAATCACAATTAAAAAAAAAAAAAAAAGATTTAGAAGATCACCAATAAGCAAAATGACAACTGCACATTTCTAAACTGAACATATATTCATATCCTTTAGCACTGTTCACATTTTGAAGGATTTTCTTTATGTACACACACACCAAGCATTTTCGTCCATACACCTTTTTCCTCTATACAAATGCACATCAACATACCTGAGAGCATTTAGAAGACCTTCTACACTATTTGGAGGTTGGTCCTTAAGAACTTTGATACAACCTTTCATCTGAGGAGAAAAGAAGAAAATAAAATGTGTTTCTTCATACAACATTCATTTTCAAAACAGGAGTACTGAAAAATAAACTAAAACTACAACTACGAAACTCAAGAGAGATTACATACTGGAAATACTTATTTTGATTACATACTAGAAATATTTACATACTAAAAATAATTACTCTTAGAGCAGGAAAAAAAATCTACCTAAGTGTTGTTATTTTCAGTTTGTTGATCAAAAAAAATTTTGTGACAACTTCTGTTCTGCATAGTACTGAGAAAAACAAAAAAGATCTCTTTAATAAGAAAAGTCTAAAAACATTCAAAAAGCAACAAGTGCAAACTTCCGTCAGTCAAAACCGAAGCCCCACAGATGAAGAGACAAAGGGTTTGCCGAGGGACAGCATCCTGGAAAAGGCAGGTGTTGGGTCGAGTTTGCAAGGATGACACAGACATGAGTTGGCAAGGAAGAGGAGTTTCCAGGGAGAAGAGCCTATGATGAAACTAATCAAATAGCACATGCAGAGGGCAGCCACAATCCTGCAG